AGAAACAACTTTTAATGACGGCCAAAGATTCGATGTTCAGGCATAAATCAGAACCTCAACTTCGATGGTTGGGACTCATCATCAGGTGAGAGAGGAGCCGAGAGAGAGGCGAGAGGAACCTCTCACGAAAGAAGCAGTGAATAGGTAGGTATACTAGGAGAGTGCTCACACAGAGACTGTTTGAAGCAGTCCGCAACATAAGAAGGAGGCCTGCTATGCGAAAGATTCTTTTCAAACATTAACTTCAGTATTTTAAGGCTAATTGCGACAGTACGTGAGAATGTTTTAGAAAGAATGGATTGCTAAAGTTAGCGAGCAAGCATACCACGCTTGGGGAATACCCTAATTGACATATATTTGGGTGAATATGTCTGAAGCATGGTAGGAAAATTATGTTTAATCTTGATAGGCAAAATGCCATAAGGTAGCCCTCAGCGGGTAAATAACAGACGGGAAATTTGGTTCCCATAAAAGAAAGTATTCAGAAGCTGCAAATTATGCGGCAATCCGTGGCGTATTCTATGTCACAGGTTACACGGATAAACTTAAAGAGGACAGCATAAAGAACAGCCCATTAAAACCAGTGATTCTGTTGTTGAAGCAGATAAATTAAATTATGATGAACTGAGAATGACAGAATAGATCATGACGAGAGTTAAACAAAATAGTCGATTCTCTAAATATTTAAGTAAATTTGAAACAAGAATAACCGGCCATTAACTGAAACTGTCAACTTAAACTTTTTCCCATTTTCATGCTAATTCGTACTCATTATTTTTTCTTCCTTCTTCTTGTTCGTCTTTATCATTGTACTATTTTAGTTCATCTTCATTCACCGTTCTGATTATCACCTTCTACGACTATCCAACTGGCTGACTGATCATCAGGCTATGTTAAAGGACCATTTCAAAATTTGTCAGTTGCTAACGGCTGCCATAAGCTCAAATATGACAAACTTCAGGTGGCTCATTCTGGCGATAGATATGAAAAAGCCGTTACTATTAGCTTGAAAGCAAATATGAACGGTGAATTTTTTCAGAAACTTTGATTGTGTACCCCAAACAACTCAGTTGACATACATCAATTGCCTGAAACCTCTACAGCGACAGCATGCTTTGAAAGACCTTCTGGTATTTCATTCATTTCGTTGGACCTCAGATTGTCCGCAATTAAAACGACCCTTTACGTACATCTAGAGACTAGCAGGTGGCATTGAATCGATCGTCGCGTCATTCAACTTATTCGTCATGACAGGTGATTTATAATTCAGCTGCATAGCGAAGCGAAGCCAGCGGTGTGAGGTGAAACG